AGGTTGAGGAGTTTTGTGATATGAATCTTGGTCAGGTTTGATTTCTCAGATGGTTTTATTATTATTTTTTTAAGGGGAGAAAGAGGGAGTCCATTGGGGGGAGAGTTTTGAAATGTTTGATTTTAATAAATACTTGGGGAAAGTGTATTAAAATTTCTGACCATCACGAAGGGGAAAGTATTTGGTATGTCAGTCTTTGATGTCGGTTTGAGAAATTGGGTTTTAATGGAGTAAGGTATATATTTTATATTCATAATGTATAAAGTACTTGAGTTAGAAGTATATTAAAATGAAAAACAATAGAAGAAGGAATATATTGAATAATATAATATAGTATAATATATTATATATAATATTCTTTTTATTTACATTATTTTTACCTCTTAAGAGCTACTTTAAACCTATTTTGGCTATATGATATCTGAGATCAATGAGTTCATATGATATGTTTTCTCTACTTATAGTAGTTTCTATGTTTTTCTATATAGCTATTATATTTAACCTATTATAATATCCTTTAAAAAAAAATTCCACTGTAACAAGTCCTACAAAATAGACAAGAGTGAGTGCAAAATTGGGATGACAGCCACATCATGGCTTTTCCCTGGCAGTTGGGGGAATTGGCTAGGATTTTTGGTAGCACACCGTGGCACAGGTCTTTTTAAGGGGGGGCATTACATAGGGGGTGGGGAGGGGTCGGGAAATTTTGTGGGGGGTGGTGGGGCAAAAATAGAGCGCCTCGAGAAGTGAGCAATTTGAAGCGTTTGTAACGCGGCGTTTTGCCGACAAGCAGCGAGGCAACCTGAGGCACACAAATTTTGGCAGCTCTATTAAGCGATGCCGCTCCGGATTCGTATCCGTATCCGGGGAAATCCCCTTGCCAAGCGAAGGACCCACCTTTTGGCCAAAAAAGTTTTCTGTTTTTCTTTTTTTTTATATTTTGCTTCTCTCTCCTGTTTGCCTCTCTCACAGTTCGTTGATTTTTCCGTGTGCGGTAGGTAGGTAGGTGGGAAAAGGGTAACGGAACTTTCCCAAGAAAACTTGGCCATGTGTGTGTGTGTGTGTGTGTGTGTGGATTTTGAAATGAATATGCATGGGCATGGTAGCCGGGAAGGGGGGGGCGTGGCCAAGGGGGAGGGGCGAAAAACTCTTAGCAAAAGTAAATTTAAAAGTTTTTATGCGCTACTGTCGGCATGTCCGCCTTGGAGATATGTATAAACACACACAAACATATCAACATACAGATGTATGAGTGGAAAGCGCACTTTTAGACAAGTTTTCTAGTTCTTTTACAAAAATCCCCCCACCCCACCCACTCGGAAAAGCCCCCTTTTTCGATGCCGTAAAATGTGCGATAATTCACATAAGCATTCTTATCATGTGTGCGTGTTTGTGTGCACAAAAGTATAGTGTGTGTGTGTGTGTGTGTGTGGGCGTGGAAAATGATTCGAGTGTATGTGTGTGTGTGTGTGTGTTAAGTGCGTGTGTATGCGTACTTCCTGCGGAAAGAAATCACCTAGCGAGCATTTAGGCGAGCAAAGTTTTCCCGGCTCACGTTCCACTCGAAAGCCATTACTACAGTCTAATGCAAAAATATTAGTAGTTAGGAATCAGGATTATAAGGATAAACTATATATTTGAAACATTAAATATATGAAATACTTAGAAAAAATATTAAATAATTATGGTATTTAATTTATTTGTTATTTATATGGCTTTAAAACCTGGGTTTCACAAACCTTAGACATTCCCTTTCAATGCTAAGTGTTTATTTTAAGTGTATTAAAATTATATGTTATCAAGCATAAATACATGAATAATTATTTTTAATAAATTTAGGTTCTTGGGAATATGTAAGCAGATAATATTAAAGAACCCCTTTGGGAACTCATACATAATAAATGATAAATAAAGTCCCAAAACAAAACATAAATAAGAAATAAGCAGATATTCCTAAAATACATTTTGTGATTGCCTTTTATACATATGTATGTATAATAACCAGTATTTAAAAAAGATTTTATTATATAAATTTATGTTTTGTAATGCTCTTAAATTCAGTGTTTTTTTAAGATTATATTTTGTACATAGAAATTATTATTACAATCGAAAGACTATTAAGCTGGCATCTTATTACCTATTTGTTGAAAACATTTATAGAAAATACAATTAAATTTAGATCTAACCAAAATATGGCTAAACTTCAACTTATTATGATATAATAAAATTTTTATTTGTATATTATATATTATCCTTTGAATCTAAAATACAGAAAGTAATCACTGATTTTACAATCAATGTCTAAAAATCGTCAAATAGTTTCCACTCTTGGAATTCCTAAAAGAAAACAAATCGCATTATATCCTGTATCGTGAATCCTGTATCCCGAATCCTGAATCCTGAATCCTGGATACCTGGATCCTGGTTTCCTGGTTTCCTCTCACCTGTCTTATGACTAACATTTTCGCACGTACGCATCCGAAAACCATTTAAATAACGCTCCATCATCTAACCCACCTTCGGCTGTGGGGAAACTTTTACACGGCAGAGCACTGTTGCTCCGGGCTGCTGCGCTTCATGGACTCCTCTGGATGGGTTTTTGGCTGGGTTTTCTCTAACACCCCCTACCCCCTCTCCTCTTCCCTCTTTTTTCAAAGCGCTTTTCCGACCCAACAAACGGCACTGGGAAAAAACGTATACTTAATGTTTAGTTTAGAAAATTGCCAAAGGGAGAGCGTTTTATAATTGCGAGGAGTATTTTTTCAATATAGAAAAATATAAAAATTCTTTATTAATATAAAATTAGAATATATATATTTGAAAATTAGTTTAAATTAAATACTAAAGAAGCTCTAATTTTCAATGAATTGAAATGAATCAAGTTTCAAAACTACCTACTTTAAAATTATATATTTAATATGAAATTAAGATTTTAAAGACTTAATAAAAATATTATATACATTGCTTAGATTTTGATTAATTCGAAATTAAATTCTTTGAAACATTAAATATATATTTTCAATTTAACGAATTCTAGAGATCTTCTAATTTCTTAAAAATGTAAAATTTTAAGAAATACCAATTCAAAAATTATTAAATAATATTTAATAATACGACTTTAAAAACCTAATGAACCTGCTTTCTCCAATGTCAAAAATTTTAACTAGTTCCAAATTTAATTCTTAGAAACTTTAAATATATGTTTTAAAATTTTTCCAACCTATCAAATTTTTTCTACAACTATTTTCCTCTCAGTGCATCTGGTTGGCGTTGATAAATGCACGGAGCATAAAAGTTTGAACAAACTACTTGAGTTTTTAGGCAAATTTTCGCCTCGAACTAGAACGTATAAAACGTAGCCAACTACTTTCCACTTTACCTGGCGGCGTGCCACGCCCCACCGCCCCCCTTGTCCGGCACGCCCCCTTTTACAAATCGCTGGGCCCATTAGAGGCTTGGCAAAAACGCCGCTAAATGCGACGTGAATTATTTAAGGCACGTGTGTTGTGCAGAATGCGGCAAATTCGACAGTGAAATGCATTTATTATTGAAGATATTGTCGGAGTCTGCGGAGCGTTCGGAGTGGGACGGGGAATCCTTTTGGCCAATTATGTGGGCCAAAGCACCCGGGAGGGAGGTAGGGTTTTGGCTATGTGGTATATATACATATATATTTTTATAAACGTTTTACAGTTTGAGAACTTTTCTTTTCTGGCGCTGGCACGTGATTGGAATTACGCGTGTTCCTTCGTCCTTGGCCCCCAGCCAAGAATTCGAAGGATTCCATTCCAGCTACAAAAATTTACACAAATCCACAAAATGCTCGATGGCTGTAGTTGGTGAGGGGGTGGAGTGCAAAAACAGAGCTTTATTGGATGACTCCAAGTGTGTGTGTTGTGTGTGTGCGGCACATGTTTGCGATTTTGGCAATCGACAAATGTTGCACACACTGTGAGAATTAGCATAATTTAGTTTTCGCGTCCCCTGGGGGCGTTCTCGTATCCATCGAATCCATCGCATCGCATCACGATTATCGAAATTGATTGAGTGCAGAGAGTCCTTCAGGTGGAATATATATGTTGCCAATACCATACCATTGGGAATGGTTATTTGTTGAAATATATAGTCGGCAATCTAATCAGAAGGATAAATGTGGTTTCAATTTTGAGAATATTTTGGAACAAAGATTATTTTGAGAATATTAAAACAGTGTAAATTATAGCAATATAAAAATAGAATAGAAGCTAATTTTGGAAAGCCGAAATTTGTATATTCTTGCAGCTTCCAATGGGATATAAACCTTTATACAATTCAAAAAAATTTGTTTAATTTTTTTGCATTTATTAGTAAGATTTTTTGAATATATCAAAGTTTAAAAATATCATAACTAAGCCAAAAGTTCATTAATTTTAATTCGGAAAACTGTTCTATGCTAGTTTTTATAAGATTAACAAATCTGCACTATCAATTTAAAATTGTAATACCCGTAAAAAGATAACAAAAATGTGTGTTTTATTAAAAAAAAAAAACGATTATATATTTCTAAATTATTTAGTCGATTCGTTATCTTTTTAAACTTTTATATTAAAATCCTTTTTATACTTACCAAACTTTCACTTTCTGCAAAAAATGCTGCCAAAAAGTAGGCAATATTTTTGTAGAGGAATGAATGCAGTCCTATTAACTGGATAAAGCAATCATCTTCTTATTTAAAACCTGTAAGAAATCCCAAATAAAATACTTTATTATTTTGTGTTAACATTAGGCAATTTATTCAATTACTGAGTTATAGAAAAATGGAATTACAAAAAGGTTTTACAATAGATGTGAGTATGTGGTGTGGCTAATGGTTTTACATCTGACGATTATTTATGGACGTGAGAAGTCCGTTTTCCCGTAAACCTCTCGGTTATGCCTAAGAAAATGTGTTTATTTGATTTGATAAACTTTAAGGAACTTACTAAAAATTTAGTAAAAAATGTGGTATAATATATCAATTAAGTACTTCAAAACTGTATGAAATAAATTTAGAAAAATTATTTTCTTGATCAATTTTTCAGATATTTTACTCAGACGTAACCGAGGGCTTTAGTATCTCTCTCTTTTCGCTCAGTCTTCAGTTGGCCGCTGGCTCTCCTGCACCATGGACATGGAGTATCATCTCAAAGGGATCCCATTCCAAATCGGACTCGTGCTTAACCCTACGACGAATGGCCTGTGGATGGTGTGGATGATGCATGGCCAGCGGTGGATGGTGTCCTTCGTGATGGTGCTGCACCAAACCAATTGGCATGTCCTGGGCATGCTCCACTAGTCCGGCTGGTGGTGCTGGCGGCGGTGGCTGTGGTCGATAATGGTGTAGATGCTGCGACGGATGATGCTGATGCGGTTGCGGCTGCTGATGATGCTGCTGTTCGCTGACTATCTCCTGGATCTGCTCCCGGGTCTGTTCCCTCTCATCGACTTTCTTTAACAGAATGTCCCGCATGAAGCACATGCGATCAAAGTGTTCCCAGGTGGAACGGAATCCCTGATGGGAATACTGAGCATGACGCTCCTTCTGCAACTCGTCCACATAACGCTGCTTGATGATTGACCAACGGGTCTGCATTAGGGCTAAAGAGAAAAGGTATTATGGGATTATTTATTAGGATTTTTACCTTCTATTAAACTAGTTCCTCTCTCCGTAGTGATACTTACTAGGAGTCAGTCCCATCTCGAGCGCCGCCTCCTTCCAAACTGCCGAGGTTCGACTCTGGCCCTGTCCCTTCTCGCTCCGCTGGCGTCCCGCCCAAAGGGACGGACGTGCTTTAATGGCATCGATAATCCGACCGCGCATACTATTGTGCAGCGAACTGGGTCGCCCCAATTTGCGGGGCGGTGTGGCCACCACCTCCGTGGCCACGGTCGCTGGCGGTGGCACCAGTCCCGTAAAGGCGGTATATGTCATTCCCTGACTCTGGCCATGCGGCGGCTGAGCGATAAGATGTGGCAGTTGTGGGGCCGGAGGAGGCGTGGCCGTTGTGGTTTGCAACCAACTGAAACTGCCGCTGGGACGCCCCCGACCATGGGAGGCACTGGGCAACGGAGGCGGCGGTGTGGGTGCAGCTGATTCCTCCCCGGTGGGAGGCGGAGCACCACCAATTGGCGGGGATTCGGAGGAGGAGGCACCGCCTCCACCGCCTGACTGAGCACCCACTATTTTGGCCACCGTTATGCTGTACATGAAGGACATCGGTTCAAAGTGTTCCCACTTGGTGTTGAAGCGATCCTTGTGAAGGATCTGGCGGTGGACCAAGTTGTGATAATGGTACTTCATCTGGCTCCAGATTGACTGCAACTTAACTAAGTGAGTAGAGACCGAATATGCTTAATATAATCCTTAGTTATTTAAAAAATATTAGTAAAATATTATTTAAAAATATGAAAATATTATTTATACTCTAAAAATATATACTTTGAAATATGTTCATCTATATATAATCTTAAATAGTATGGTTTTATAGTATTATAACTTCACTCAGAAGTTTGCAACGCAGTGAAGGAGGCACCTCCGAGCATATAAAGTATATATATTCTTGATCAACATCAACAGCCGAGTCGATCTAGCCATGTCCGTCTGTCCTTCTGTCCGTCTGTCCGTCTGTCCTTCTGTCCGTTTCTAGTGTCTCAGTTTTGAAGCTATCTGAATGAAACTTTGTAGTTAGTCTTCTATATACTATCACTCGTATATATGTCGGAACGGGTCGGATCGGACGACTATATCATATAGCTGCCATAGGAATGTTTAGAAAATGTTTCCAAAAATAATTTTAACTTCTTTAGTTTTCAACAGAATTTGATCAAATTTAAGATATTGCCATTTTATATTATTCTAAAATTTTGTGTAAAATTATATGAAAATCGGACTACTATATCATAATTCTGTCATAGGAACGATCGTTAGATATAGAGGAAAAATGCAAATCTGTGAATGTAAAACTGTAAATACAATACGTATAAGTAAATTAAATGAAAGCAGGTTCATTGTTTTTTAACATAAATATATATGATTTATATTGTATTGATTCCTAGTCATCGAAGTTCTATCTGCAAGGGTATATAAACTTCGTCGTGCCGAAATTAGCTTCTATTCTTGTTCCAACTTAAAGTTTGTTTAATATTTTATTCTATTTCTCTCCCTATCTCTACTATATTGAGTAGTCTGTACCTTTCAATAACATTTCTCAAAGTACATTACACCCGTCAATTATTCCCCTTGCGATTGCTTCAATTTGCATTATTTAGTGGGGTAATTCCAATCGGACAGAGACCTTCTATTCCTATTCGACATGCCATAACCTTTGGCTATATTTAGACCAAAAACAGTAGTGTTAGAAGTGGGGTAAGAATAGAATACAGAAGAATGGGTAAAATACAGTTGCTACATTATATTAATAGTAATAACGTAAGGGAGTAACGTAACGTGACGTAGTGCCATGTGATTGATTGACAAGTAATTACCTAAAGGCATTGACATGTTATAATAATATAGTAATTAAACAATTAATTAATTTTTAAACCAACATCTGCCCTCTCTTTCCTCCATGAAATCCCGTTTAAGGGATTGCAAGGAGGAGAGAGAGAGAGAGAGAGCTCTGGTTGAGAGAATTGAACTAAAATAGAGCTTAAAAAATCGCATGAGAGAATGGACTCGGATTTGTATTGCTATCGCACTCACCTGTCGGCACATGGCCGCCGAACTGCTCGGCGATCTCTGTCCACATGGGCGATGTGACGCTGCGGCACATGTGCAACTTGTTGTTGGAGTCCCAGATCTCCGGATACTTTTTGATCGCCTTTAGGAGCTGGGCGCGATTGACAAACGGATCCTCCTTGGGCATGGTCACACTGAATGGAACTTTTTCGGGGAAGGGGAAGGTGGAAACTGGTGTGGCAACTAGTCCCCGCCGCGTCGATTCCAAAAGGCAACGAGACAGCGCCGGCGGAGCACAACTGCGTCCTTTGACATCAATTATCGGCGAATAACTGAAAGTAGAGTTTGCAAAAATATGCGAATTGAAAATGAAAAGGCAGAGCGATTGAGGAAAATAGAGAAAACGATGACGGCGACGACGACGGCGACAGCGACGCCAGCTTTTGGTTGTAGTTGCTGTTGTTGTTGCCTCGATGCCGAAGAGATTGGAAAGGCAGCGAAAGCGTACACGAGATGAGATACACAAAATGCAGGCGAGAAGAGAGAACAGGCAGAATGTGCAAAAAAAATACGGGGAAAAAAATAAAGCAGCGACGTCAGTTTTACATACAAAAGTCTCTTGGCTGGCGTAGGTGTGACTGTGTGTGTAAGATGGCAAAGCGTAAAAGCAAAACAGACAAAAGCAACAAGACCAAAGAGGAGACAGACAAAAAGCAACAACATGAAGACGGAGGAGCAGCAGAAAAGCAGCGACGACAGCAGCGGCGAAGCAGAGAAGCTCAGAGCTGCAAAACCGAAAAACAACTGAAAAGAAAAACAATGAAAGACGAAGGAGAAAAAACAGCGGGCTGGCAGCCCAAAAGAAAGGCCACGATAAACAAGCTACCTCTCTTTCGTTCACGCTCCCTCTCTCACACTCACTCTCTCCCGGTCGCACTGCCAGGAGAAGGCGGCTTGGAGCCATCGAAATGTGGCGAAGAGTGGGAGGTGGGGGCGAGGAGGCAGCAAGAGCATTAGAAGCAGCGAAAAGCGAAACAAAAGAGCAGCGCCGACTGCAGAGTAAAGTGCAGGTCCGCAAAACAGAGAGCACTGAAATCCACGATGACCGAAGACGAGAGACACGGCTTGGGCCCGGGGGCAGGTGTGGATGGGACGCAGAGAGAGCACACTGGACGATGGAGACGGGAGGGAGAAGGAGACCCGGAGTCCGAAGCCCGGCTGTCTAAACCGGAGACCCAGCAGCTACAGCAACGGCAACAACAACTGCAGCACGAACACGCAACAAAGCGACAAGGCAACCGACGAACGGTGCAACAGCCGGGCAACGTGAAGGTGGCACACTCAGGCCTGACGGTGCACGGCTAGTGGTGGCACATCTAGATTTGAGTTTAAATGAATATTAAAAACATTGCAATTAATAAATAGCATATTTCCCTGAGTAGATGGAGTCGTCTGAAGTTCAATAATTTTAAACCTTAGCTAAAAAATACCCTAGATGTGAAGTCAAATTTGTTAGTAGATGATCAAGTTCGTATTAAAATTATACAAACTAATCTTAAGTAAAATATATAATATTTTATATTTGTGTTCTATATACCCTTGCAGTGTATTATAATGTTAGTCAGAAATTTGCAACGCAGTATAGGAGTCATATCCAGGTCCATAAATTTTATATATTCTTGATCAGCATATACAACTGAGCCGATCTAGCAGTTTCTACCCCTCTAGGTTATGAAGTTATCTACTTGAATCTTTACAGCTAATCTTCTATATATTTTTACTCGTATATACATACATATGTAGCTATCATGGGAACAATTCGAAATTTTTTAGAAATATATTATAACTTTTTTAGTTCTCAACATATTTTTATCTAATTTCGTATATAGCCATATTGTATAGTTTCAGATTTTTGTTTTTAATTTAATCAAAATCGGACGACTATATCATATAGTTGGCAAAGGAACGATCGGTAAATTTTTAAATACAAAATTAGAACTTTTTCAGATTTCAATATATTTTTGTCTAATTTGAGATATAGCTGTTAATTATTATTTTAGATCTTTGGTTTTAATTTCATGAAAACTGGACGACAATATAATATAGCTGCCATAGGAACGATCGGAAAATTTGTTGATACAAAATCATAACTTTTTCAGATTTCAACATATGTTTATGTAATTTGAGATAAAGTTATTAATTATTATTTTAGATCTTTGTTTTTTTATATCATAAGAATCGAACGACTATATCATTTAGCTGCCATAGGAACGATCGAAAAATTTGTATATAAAAATGTATAACTTTTTCAGTTGTCAAGATATTTTTATCTGATTTCAGATATATCTATTAATTATTATTTTATCTCTTTGGTTTTAATTTAATGAAAATCTATATCATATCGCTGCCATCAGAACGATCGGACAATTTGTAAATACAAAATTAGAACTTTTTCAGTTTTCAATATATTTTTGTTTAATTTGAGATATAGCTATTAATTATTATTTTAGATCTTTGTTTTTAATTTCATAAAAATCGGACGTCTATATCGTATAGCTTCCATGGAAACGATTGGAAAATGTTTAGATTAAAATGTTGAGCTTTTCTACATATCTGCATCTTATTTATAGCTATTTTGTATTAGTTTAGAGTTTCAGTTGTAATTTTATGAAAATATTATATATAGCTGGCGCAGAAACTATCGTAAGAGGCATATGCGAAATTGTGAATTTTCAACTGCAAAATAATATGCATTGGCATATATAATCAAGTAGGCATTACTTTGTTGGTTTTTTATCACATATATATATGATTTATATTGTATTAATTATTAAGGATCTAATTACAATCTGCAAGGGTCTAAAAACTTCTACGTGCCGTAATTAGTTTCCTTTCTTTTTAACTTTCTATTATATTCCCGCCAAAAAAAGCTAGATTACTTCAAAGTGTCATCACTGTTGGGCGGTTCGGTCGGTTGGCTAGTTGTTTGTTCGTTCCTTTTTGTTCGTCGTTGGCCGTTTTGGGTGCTGTGCGTTTACTCGTGTGTGTGTGACTGTACGTGCAATGAACCCGCAACTACAACTGCACACGAATGCAGCACTCCCCTGCACCCGCCGCCCACCGACCACCCGCCAGCACACGCACACTGCAAATTGCATTGGTATTGAGCTCTAGCTTTCGTAGGCGCAGCAGAGTGCCCAACGCAGCGCTGCGTTCATTTACTCAGTGCCCCAGACCCCGTTGCCGAGCAGCGACCCCCACTCGCCACCCCCGCCATGTTCGCTCCCCGCGAGCGAGACGGCAAAACAAACGAGATTCGGCATAAATCAGAGGTGGTCAACTATTTACATAGTGGGGTGTTCGCTTTGCGCTCGGGAGCGGATTTGTGTTACTCAAAATAAACAAAACAAGGCATTTTGCAACGATTTGAAATTCAGAAATAAATCTACTCGAATATGTTGAGCGTTTTAGTGGTCGTAACGCACGCCTAAATAGCATTCCAAATTGATGAAAGCAGCACTGACCTACCTATCGTTCTTGGGTTTATATTTGAGTTTTCAGTTCTCTAGAGAGGATCTTTCCTATTTAAAAAGGGATTTTTAATTAATGCGAGAGTTAATTTATTTGGTTTTATTTAAAAACCTTAAATTATAGGCATCTGCACTAAGAATGAAAGTGTAAAGAAAGAAACACAAAAATATGAATCCCTTACACGGGGATATGAATCTTTCGTTTTTAGAACAACTGAGCGTGCCTCAGATTTTTTAGTACCTCCTGCATGCGAGGTGCATGTCCCGAAAAGTACAGGACTAAATTTGAAAGGGAACTTTGATAAGCACGAAATTATATACCTTTGCAGATTGCAAATAGACTTAATTATAGGATCCAATCCGGAAATCGATCAAAAATTTCATAACTTAGCCAAAAATGCATTAACTTTAATTCGGAAAACATTGCTATGCTAGATTTTAGTGGGTTAATAAATCTGTATACTCAATTTTAATGTAAAAAAACAACTCAAAATTTTATAAATTTTCGAAAAAAAAGAAACTTGTAACCCCTTATCTTTCGAAAAAATTTGAAAATTTTTTTTTTGATCAGTTATGGCTAGACTGACTAGGATTTTTGTGCTGATCAAGAATATATATGATTTATAGGGTCGGCAATGACTCCATCACTGCTTTACAAGCTTCTAACCAAATGTGTAATAACCGGCAAGGGTATAAAAATTAATCTTAAAAAATGAATGAATCTTATGATTCCTTTCTTCCTATGAATATTTGTATAAATATTTATAGATGTATTTTTATGAGTTATATCTTTGGATCCATTCTATTTCCCCTCGATTTTTAATTAAAATCTGCATATTTACATAAATCAGAATCTTTATAGATGTGTTCCACCAGTAAAATAAAGCAACATCAATTATCTCTGGGTTTATAGGCCATTCTTAATATTAATCTTAATGGCTTACACTTAAATATTAACTCAAGTACCCATGTTTATGCACAAATCGTTTAAGTACAGCAATTAGTTTGGCTGTTCCACATAACAATTAATTCCTGGGCATAAAAAAACGAATTGAAACGAGTCATATAAACCGAGATGAAAGTCACTCAAGAATCAATTCGATTAGTGCCAATTGCTGGGTATATATGTATATATATATATGATGTGACTAACTGAATGAAATGGTCCCTGGTTTGGCCAGCATAATTTAGCAATGAACTGGGCTTAAATTGCTGGGTGGATGAGCTACTTAGCCGTGCCCCTGCTTAATTATTCAACGACAATGGCAATTGTCAGTGGCGACTCTATCAATCCGAGATGGCCACTCCATCTCCATCTCCATCTCCAGTTCCATCTCCACTGGTACCATCTCTCCCTGCATTCGTAATGCGGCTGTTAATGTTTTTAATGCCCTCCGTTTTATTGGCTACTGCTGCCAGATATCACTCGGCCTCTGTGTGTGTGTGTGTGTGTATCTGTGTAATGTATCTGCGAGATGCGTAACTATGAGCCTCCCTCACCGAAAGCCGCATAATGAACGCACACGCACTTTCTTATCGGGTCGAAAAAGAGAAAAAAAAAAATAGGAAGAGAGGGAGCGGCGTCTTTAATTTTTATGGCAGCATAAATGGTCCACCGTAATTTGCTAGATTAGAATTAATTTGAGTCCCGGGCAAAAGATACTTGTGAGAACAGTAAAGATTGCTATTGAAGGGATACTTCTTAGATGTATTTTTACATTATCTTAGAGCTTCCCTTTAGTAGGTTCCACTGTATCCATAACTCGGCGTACTGCCAATGCCAATGTGGACAAACTTCGACAGTAAAAAGTAATGTATCTCGAGATGTATCCCAGCTACGGACAGCCGCACATCAACTGCAGGCAGATACAGAGAGATACTGTTCACCCAAAGTTCCCCTTGGTTCTCCAGGCTCCAGAAGATTGAGGTCCAGACCCGGGGTCCACATCAATTGTCGTTCTGCGGGATTCTGCAGGAGGGTTGTGAGAGAGGTATCTTTTGCTGTCTGTTGCCTTCGTTGGGTTTTTATTTTCATTTATGCTTTTTAAGTGCTTCATTAAAATCGCGTATGAGGCAGGGAGGGGTGGCGGAGGGCGGGCTGGCGGAGAGACCTTTGTCAGCGTCATCATCGTGTGGCACACACAAGCAACAACAAAAAGTATCTTTCGGATACATGTCCAAAAAGCAACGAAAGAAAGCAACATGGCACAAACAAAAAACAAGAAAAAAAAAAACGACAGCGACGTCGGTGAAAATAAATAAAAAGAATTAAATCCAAACATGTTTTTACTCAGTTCGCTTCGTGGCTCTGGCTATGCCTTAAACAAAAAACCAAAAATAAGTGGAAAAAACCAACAGCAAATCCAGCAACACACAAAGAAAAGCTAGAATTAAATAATATATGTATTGGTATTACCTAAAATTATTGTTAAAGAATATTCATAAATTTAATTCAATAAGTTCTGCCTAAAACAAGATTACCAAGATATAAAAATGCTCTGCTTTGAGTGTTTTTATAGCCGTTGTAAATACTTTAAACACTTTTTGTTTTAATACAATATTTTTATTTAAATTTTATTTAATTAAAACAGATTTAGTTATCATTTTCCTCTGTGTAGACCTTAGGCTTCAGGCTAAAACTCCAACTTCAATCGCAGCTCCAACTCCGGTTTCAAGCCTATGCCCCCTGCATCTGTATCTGAATCTCTAAGTGACTGTGTGTTGTTGTATGTATCTTCGACTGCGTGGCTATAAGTGTGCCCCGTTCACAAGGCAAAAAAAAAAAATAAATAAAATCATACAAGAAGTAAAGTATAAGGAAAACGACAGCTTAATACCTTAAACTTAATAAATTTCTAAATAAAATTATTCAAATAGAACAAAAAATCATATCTAATCCCTTCTTTAATTATAACTATACGTTTTCCTGCACTTTCTGAATAGTTTATAAATTTCTTTAATCTCTGATTAGATCGAACCCTTAATTTTCCTCTGTTGTAAGCTCTACTGAATTCTAAGATACCCTGGCACTCTTCAAGTACTGGGTATTTAAAGTCAGAAAACAGCATTAAGCATCTCTTGTTGTTGTTTTTAAGGTGCGCATATAAAGAGGCCTTAACAGCCAGCCATCCGACCAGTCCGTCGGTCCGTTTCCCCATCAGTGAATCACAGTGGATTAGGTCGATGAAGAGTGCTGTCAAAAATGTACATGCACTGGATTAGACCTATCCTAGATTATATGTGGGTGATGGAATAATGCCCACTATAAATAATAAATAAAAGAGTAAGAAGGGTTAAGTATGGGGACGACAATTGGATAGTTTCTGAATTCCTTTTGGGATATGATAAGACCCAACAATTTTTCAAATAGTTTCTGCTAGAACTGAATTTTCTTATTTTCCATTTATTACCCTTTCAGGGTATTAAAAATATATATGGAAGTGTGATAATATATATTATCTATTAATACGATATAAGTCAGAATCGATTAGATCGAACTACTATATCATATAGCTGTCATAGGTACGATCGGAAAATTTGTAGAAAAGAAATAATAACTTTTCCAGTTATCAATATATTTTCTTTAAATTGGAGTTCAAGCCATGTTGTATTATTTTAGGATTTCGGTTTTATTTTTATTAAAATCGGACGACTATATATACATATATATAGCTGCCATAGAGAAGATTATTAAATAAAGAGGAAATTGCAATATGCTCTCTTTCTCCCTCTCTCGGCAGGTCAATCTGACTAGCTGTAGAGGTGCCTCTTTCTCTCAAACTCTCTCTACCTTTCTCTAGAGGAATCTCTTTCACTCTCGCTCTCACTTTCTCTCTTCTCTTTGCTCGGGGACTATAAATAGAGGCACTTCAGCCGCCGCTGGCCTCAGTCTGTCCGTGGCCCCCCGCCTGTTAACATCTGGAGTGAAAGTGGCAGTGATAGTGATCCCCTTCGACCTCACAAATATCACCTAACCAATGCAATATGTTTATTCATTTATTTTCCAATTAATTCCCTTATTGCCATGTTACTCATTACAGATTTTATTTTTCTGTGATACAGTAAAATGTATACTCAAAGCTAACAGTCCAACTTAATTATAACTTATTCCCTAAAATTGATTTCTTATTCTTAATATAGTTTCAATTTTGACTTTGGCCCCAATTTTTTTTATACATTATTAAACCCTTTCAGGGAATTATAATTTAGTCAGATGCTTGCAACTTAGGACTTCTGCAATCGATTTGTTATTGCTCCAAACTGACATCATTAAAGAAATATTTGAGAATTAAATTCTGGGTTATTTAAAATATATTCGTTAAATTTTTTAGCTGACTTTCTAGTCAGAGGGTTTCTGCATGGAATGGAAGGGTTCCACAACTTAAATGAATATTATAAATACCCCTTAAAAATGTTTTCCCTTTTCAATAATTAATTAAATATTACCAAAAAATCTCTATATTCACCCATTGTGCAATGGCACCGATTGCCAACATCAGAGATAACACAACAGCAACAAAAACAGCAAACTTGAAGAGCGCAGAGGATCGCATTTAAGGCGCAGCATCCCCATCCAAGAAGCATATCCCATCCGCACCGTGGTCCAGGCAGAGGCAGGGGCATGCGGCATGAGGCGAGTGGCTTCAAAGCCAGAGTGGAGTGAGTTCGCAACTCCTTTTCATCCTCATGCCATGTGCAAATCACATACAGTAGCAAAAAATTTCGACAGTTATTTACGATTAGCACAAAAGATACGAGACATGACATGCGCTGAATGGAGCTGGGGGATTGGGGCATGGCGATGGGTATGGGGAATGGGTCTCTTGGAATGGGTATGGGAATGGGAATGGGTATGGGTGTGGGGGAGGGGGATGGAACGATCGTAAAGACCTGGAACTCCGGCCTACGCTCTCCATCTGTGCCGGCTACTGTTCCAGCGGATATACATATGTGTTGACTCAGCGGGTGTCGGGCGAGAGAGATGTCCGCTTCTCAGGTATATTATACATACTCTGATATAATTGTGGCCAGAAAAATAGAGCTAATAAAATAGATTTTAAAAAATTAAAGGTGAATTTATATGATATACAAGATTTTAAACTGAAAAATGTCACATTTAATTCGTATAATTCCTTCGTCACTATGTGGTCCTTTGAATGCCACATTTAAAGCAAGTTGGCAGTCCTGCTGGCTCTGCCTTATTGGAAGCAAGTTGGCACACTATTTTATCATTTTTAAAAATAGCAAGGAAATAAAAACAAATATTAGTAGTAGTTATGACTTGTAATTTTCTGCATCGTTGCAATTTTTTAACTATTAAGTTATACTATATATTCGTTTTTTTAGAAGTCAGTTGGCAGCCCTCTATCCCATTTTTAAGCCAGTTGGCAGTCCTGAACAGACTTCATAATTTTTGTGAACCGCAAGGAATGTGTTTAAAATTGAGTTTTTATAAATTTTGGTTTAGATTTCAACTTTTATATTAAATTGCTTACTTTCATAACCTTATTTAAAAATTGTATGCATAAGTGGGAAAGTTAACTATCTATGCAGAATACCAATACTGCCAATACTGCAAATTTTTCCTTCTGCACGTGTGCGCAAAATCCATGTGCTTTTTTCTGAGAATTTTTCTTATAAAATAAAGTGGAGCCAAGAATCGAAATGGTTAGTGTCAGAAGTGTACCAGCAGTAATTCTTTATTATTGACTTAACTTACAAATGTATATCCTCTCAGCAAAACCATTTCCAGAAAACTGAAAAGCCGCTTGTGCGCAGGCGCATGAGCCCCCTGACCGAGAGCCAGCTGGACAATATGCCCAGCACCAGCAAGGCTGCAATGGCCGCAATGGCTTCCTCATCCGTATTCGGATCGAAAGCCTTCAAACAGCCCAAAGATCCCCTGAAGGTGAAGCCGAAGGCCAAGCCCAAAGGATGCCCAATCAAACGTTTGCTATCCATTCAACTTGATCCGGATTATAATCCAAGGGCTAGGCTCGGAACTGCATCTAGGAGAGTGCTAACCAGAGGTCAGACGAAGAAAGATCGGGCTGTACTTCCGAAGGAGACTCCGGCTGCAAAGGTACCAACTATTCAGAAGCCAAAGCCACCGATAGTAATCACTAATAGACGGTTTCGGACAAGCCAAAGGCTTTTGCCCACCGTCTGGCACTCGGGGAATGTGTGTCAATTCTCCTTAAGGCAGATCTGCAGTCCGGCAACCAGAAACTGTGCTGAAAATGATGTGGAACGTTGGCGAGCCATCGAATGCATCTGCATGGATCTGCGAGGAATCAATGTGAGGAGCAATGTGGGTGTCCTTAAAGGACCAGTCTCCTTTGAGGATGTCTTCGAAGTGCTGGGCCTCGATGAGCAGGGGGAGCAGAAGGTGGAACCTGGCCCCTCGTCAAAAGTTAAAGTGGAATCTGCTGGGATGGGATTGAAAGTAGCTTCTAACCGTGGAAATTTCGATATTGACAAGTACTTGATGCCGCCACTGACACCAATCCAGAGATGTCCTGTCAGGGATCCCAGAAAAGTGGTAGTAGAAAGGAAACCAAGACCGATTTCTAAGAGTCCCATGCGGGTCGAGAAAGTGACTTCTTTATCAAACTATAAAAGAAATTGAAGCAAGATCTCTCATTTAGTTTTATAATATTTTATTTAGTTTTATTTTCTGACTGCCATATAGAACAAATCGAGCAGGAATACAATTTAAAAAAGAGTCATGAAGCAGGATCTCTCTTATATTTTTTAAATATTTTATTTAGTTCTAATTTCTGGAAGTTTGCCACACTTTTGAAGTGCAGTTTATGTTTGTAGCATGCCCCCAGTTTCTGTTCATCATTATTTAATATTAAATAAAAATTAATTTATACGACTGTAACTATTTTCTTGACTTCCATTGTATATGCACTCATGCACACACTCTGGCAGTTACGAAAAAAAATAAGCAAAAGAACACACTTTATTGTACGACGAACACTTATGCATGCGGGACAATGGCGATGGGGGCACATTTGATAGCCGACGACTTTGCCTGGGTTGGCCTGCCTTTCTCCGCCGTCGAGAGCTGACCTATTAAATGGGTAAACTACTTTGTGTATCTCCCCATGAAGATCGCTCTTTCTTGTATCTATTCGCTGTTCTAAAATGGGCCATAAAAGCCCGAACTTCAATGCCTTAACTCTGTTGCGATGCTAAGCGATGCGATGCTGCTGATTGCAGTTTCAAAAGTCTTAAATTATGATCACTTTTGAAGATGATTTTCACTAGACATTATAATAGGGATGTTTTTATAAATAATTACTATGTATTTTAAATAAAGAAATTTAGTATTAAAGAGGTATGAGGTATAAGAGAATATTTCAGAAATAATAGAAATTAAGATTGATCATAGAAACGCCTTATTCAACAACTGAACCTATGATGATATAATACAGTTTCTTATAAATTATTATTATTTCATAAAAAGATATTTGGTTTTAAGGAAGGTTTTAAGTAATGTTTCAAAAATAATTGAAACTAAGATTAAATATACAAAAGAATTATTTAAAAGTCTTAAATTATGATCACTTTTAAAGAAGATTTTCAGTGGGCTTTTTATGAATATTAAAAAAATTATAGAAATTAAGTTTGATATGAACGCCTTATTTTAATATCTGAAAGTATGATGATAATACAGTTTTTATAAATTATTATTATTTATTTGATAAAAAGATATTTGGTATAAATGAAAGTTTTTAGGAAATGTACCAAAATTAATAGAAACAAATATTAATTATACAAAAGCCTTATTTAAATGTCTGAAATTATGATAACTTTTGAAGAAGATTTTCACTAATAAGGTTCTTATAAATAGGCAATGTGTTTTTTAAATGAAGATATTTAGTATTAAAAAAGTTTAATGTATTAGGAAATATTTCAAAAATAATAGAAATTATTCCTTATTTTAAAATCACTTAGGGAATATTTCATAAATAATAAAAACTTAGAGTAAACATACAAAAGTCTTAATGTCTTGTATATACCTTTCCGTATATAATTTTTTAGTTTACAAGATGTTCAACTATTGAAGTATATGCTATGGTATAAACTTATATAAACCTATACATATTTATTCTTGAACAGAATTGGCAGATAATCACTTTATTGATTTGACACTAGAAATTAAATCAGATCTTTAGTTCCAAATAACAAAGCCTGACTTTAAACCAAAATTTTCCTCAGAACTTTTCCATTTCCATGTTATAGAGTACACCCTTTAGGGCCTTAGGAAAAATCAACCCAGATCGGTTAGCACTAATTACCGACCTGCCTGCCTGTCGCTTTATGGGATTTCATTAGGCCACATCGTCTCCACGCGGCGGTCATTAGACCAGAGGCCATTTTCCGTTCCGTTCACAATGCCCGGAGTATACAGAGCAGAGTGCACTGTGTGGAAATTTATGGCCTTCCTCTGCGCCCTGGACAATCGCAGAAACTCCTAACCTGGAGCAGCTCCTCCTGCTGTCCAACTGTCCAACCGGCTGAATAATTTAGCTGCGATAATAAGCGGCTATAGCCAGTGTCCACTGCCACCCGGGAGTCGGGGGGATTGGGATGGCATTTCGCCATAGAAAACACTAGCAAAAAAACCCAAAAGAAGAGCAAAAAAACAATTTATCGAGTCGTGCGTCCTGTTGCGTGCCATGCAATTTAATTGCGGTTTTCGGAGGCGTGGCAGGGACGCCCCCTTTTCCATCTCGCAGCACCTCCCCCCTTTGCGTGCATTTTAATGCACTTTATCATTCGGTGTGGAGGAACCCCCCCCCCGTGTTTTATTATTTATATTTACTATAATTTTCCTGAACAGTCCGGCAATAAAAAAATAACAAAATAAGCAGGAACACGGTAGCAGCGACAATCGGGGACGGTGGCCTGGCAAATAGAAGCGCAATAATTATAATTAAATACATTTTTACGTGCCATTTTACCGTTTGCAAGGTTTTTCCTTATGCAAATAAATAATTGCGTACACCTTTTTGCCATCGCGGCTTTAAAAAAAAAAAAAACAAAAAAAAAAAAGGAAAAGCCCCCAGGGAGAAGAGGAATAAAAATATATGAAAAAAGGGAACATAAACCAGAAAACCAGAATAAAAAACGCGGTGGCAATTAATAAAACCTGGCTACCGGACTGAGTGAGAGATGGAAAGCTGAATCTATGAATAAATCAGACTGCTTTTTATTCCAACCTTAAATTGAAGTGTGGCTATATTTTCCTCCGATTCCGAAGTGCTTTAAAGAAGCTAATTTGTATTTTTGCAGAGCATATAGTACTTTAATTGTGCCTAATTGTGGTAATTATCTGTAATTACTCTTTTGATTATGAAGCGATCAGCAAAGGAGCACTTTAATCTTATTAGCTAAGGGGAAATCATAAATATAAAGAAGAATTAGTGGTTTTATTGCAGAGTTTTTAATGGTGGTTTTTATATCCTCTTGAACTAATGGTATTCAACAGATTCTTTCCTTTTTTCGCTGGAACTTCTTTTATAGATTTTAAAAAGCTATTTTATTTTATTCGAATAATTTTAATCAAATCTTATTTTACTATAAATCCATGAATAATTAATTTAACAACGTTTCTTTTGGTAGTACCAAATTTTGTCTTCCGGTGTTAAAAACTAATTTTCCGCTCTGAGTTTCGGAGGTTTTCACAAACCACAACTGAGGCTTGGAAATATTTTAAAGTTGTTTTTAAATTTGTATATTGAAATTTAAGCAGGGAATTGAACAGGTTTTTAATACTTTCGTAATTTTATTTAGTTGAAAAGGATATTTGGATATTTGGATATTTGGGATTGTGCTAATAATATTATCTGTCAATAGAAAATTAATCAGAATCTGTTAGATGGAAGAACTATATCATATAGCTGCCATTGGAACGATCGGAAAATTTGTAGAAAAGAAATTATATTATATTATCCAGTTATCAACATATTTTCACCTAATTGGAGTTAAAGCCATGTTGTATTATTTTAGAATTTCGGTTTTAATTTCATTAAAATCGGACGATATATATATATATATATATATATATATACAAATATATATATATATATATATAGGTGCCATAAAATCAATAGTTAAATGCTGAGGAAAATGCAATATGCTCTCTTTCTCCCTCCCTCTGCAGGTCTATCTGGCTAGCTCAAGAGGTGCCTCTTACTCTCTAACTCTCTCAACCTTTCTCTAGAGAAATCTCTTTCACTCTCGCTCTCACTTTCTCTCTTCTCTTTGCTCGGGGACTATAAATAGGGGCGCTGCTGTCGGCGCCGCCCCTTAGTCAGTGCGCGGCCTCCCACCTGTTAACATCTAGAGTGATAGTGGCAGTGATAGTGATGCCCTTCGACCTCACCTGAATAAATTCCCTTCTCGCCTTTAACCTCATAAAACGTATTCTTAAAACTAACAGCCTAACTTAATTAAACCTTATTCACTAATATTGGTTTCTTATTCTTGATATAGTTTTAAAACTATGTTCTTTAAGAATAATTTGTTCTTTAAATTTTTTGATCGAAATATATACTATAACTTTGGTTTAAATTTGTTATTTTTTATTCGTATCCCTTTTTTGCTCCATTAAATCAATAAATCTATTTTAATAGACATTTCTTCTACTACTTACCACTACACAATTAATATATTTAAATTTCTTTAAGAATAATTAATTCCTTACCTCTATTCAAAAGTCCAAAAATTGTGAAAGTCTGGTCGGAACCTTCTCTTTTTGGGCAACACTTTTTTGTGCTGACACATTTGATATGAAATTTGATTAATTTCGTCACCTGATGGCACTTGCTGATAGGCCATTCAAATTAAAATGATTGACACTAAAATTGCTTTAATGAATCATTAAATACAAATTACACCTAATCGGTGACATTCTCCCCTTCTGTTTTCCATCGCCCTTTCCCCGGGACCCTGTTTTCTTTTCTTTTTTCTAGTGGGTGAGTTGCCACATTTTGTTCGTTCCATCCAAGCAAACGCTCAGTCATTCTGTTTCTTTACTTATATATACAAAAAATATACACAAACCTACCATATTCCTCTTCATCGTGTTGTTATTTATTTATTTTTTTTGCTTCTTGTTTGAAGAACAAAATTGCGTGCCGATGCAAGAAGGCAAAACACGCATAATGGATAAATGCGAACAACAACGGCAAAATGAACAAGAAATAAATTCTAATTGCGTGCTTTTGGCATAAAATCAAAATTCGTTATAAAAATGCAAAGGGAAAGAACAAAAATCAAAATAAAAAATAATGCCAAAGCCAGCAAGGCGAACCAAAACGCAATCACACAAAAATACACCCAACAAAAGGGCAAAAATTGCCAGCAAAATATGCCCAGAATAAAGTCAAACTGAAAGCTAAAACGAAATGAAAAAATATTTAAAAAATATTAAGACACCAAATTATTCACTATATTTTTTAAGGGAAATATAGTTTATAAATATTTTGCTTTTAATATTAATTAACTTGGATTTTTTGAATACAATGAAAAGTAATACAATAATGACCAATAAAGGCATCAAAGATAAAATACATTTTTTTAGCTTTATGTTTTTATTCATTTTTAATATTTAATATATTTAAAAATTATGCATTTCTGCTTCTGATGTTAGCTCATTCGGTTATTCCTTTTTTCTAAGGGTATTTTGAAAAAAACAGTATTAATAAACGTGTCAGGCAACAAAAAGAGGCAACGGTAGCTGCTTTATACGTATCTGAACAATGGTGGGGAAGGATTTAAATAAAAAGGGATATTAATTATTAAAAAATGAGTAAATATCTAATTTTTTTCTTAAATTA